AATAATTATGTGTTAGAATTTAACTCATGTCTTGAGCTAACTATGATTGGGTTTGTATATGTAGCTATAGTAAGGATATATAGTAGGCATAGTTAGTGTTTCCACTAAACTTAGATGGAACTTCTACTACTATAAGAGGTGGTTGATCTAACCCCATTTTACAACTTCTTGCTCATTTGTACGAGAGCATTTTGAGAGAGAGATAAATCATATTCATATGGGGCGATGGACAACTTCTTGGTTATCATTTTTACTTGTACATATTGATTGAGAATTCACTATTCTTCTTGACATTGGCTTATATGTTTAATAATAATGAATTTATGCTAAAATTATAGATGAATCAATATAATACATAAAATTTTAATGTAATAGTTAAAATTTCAAAGTAAAATATATGTTGTGACAAATACTTAAAAAAATTAATTTGCGATCAAATTATTATACACATATTAAATATGAAATAATTTGCAATTAAGATATATATTTCATTGATTATCATTTTTATTATTATTAGAGTAATTTTTACCTATATAGATGTATATTAGGAATATATTGAATTCATTGATTTTTAAGAAATTAACTTTAACTATCTGATGGGACAGATGTGCTTCTTACATATAAATATCAAAAGCAATAGACTTGACATCAAATCAAATTTTGAATGAAGTATTTTCAAATAAAAGAAAAGAACACTAGAAATTTGATTATCATGTTATCATATAATTATAATTATTTTTTATATTTTTTTTTGATCGAGTTTATATTTTCTATAATTTTCTTATAAACCCATTTAATCTTGAAATTGCATTAAAGTATCAAAAAAAATTAATGTATTTCATGATTTAATCAGTTTTTTATGAAAAATAGTTTATAAAACTAATATAAGAATGTCTATACTTTTTAGTAACACAAAAGTATTTAGTATGTATGATGTTGCAGTTTTACTTCATTTTTTATTATATGATCATGTTCCTCATAGGAATTTTTTTGCATTTTTCTTTGGAATATGTCATTCTTACAATAATTTTTCATTTAAATTTTTTGAATCCTTTAGGTGCTAAATGTTTTATTGAGTCAACCCTAACAAAATCCAAGTCTTATATAATAAGCGTAAGAGAGAGCATATTCAAATATTTCATTAAATGATAGCTATAACATACTAAAATTTTCTGTTAAAATTATGGCTCATAAATATCAATTTTAATAATTTCTAATTTTTTTTCTTTAAATTTTTTTTGAAGAAATATTTGGATACCAAATTTCTAGAGTGTTTAATTTGATTTGAAGACACAAATCCTTGACATATGTATGTATATATGTATATATATATATATATATCTCGTTCACTTTATCATGAAACCATGGAACTAATTACATCAACTCTTGAGATCTGAGTGGAAAATGTATATTGTTTATGAAGAAGGTTTCAGAGGGTAGAAATGTACACATTTTCAAATCTTCAACATGAATTTATCAATATATGATTCAGTGAGCATCTAGTTATTTCTCAGATTATGTTAATTATCCCTCATTTGCAGAGATTGAATAAAATGCTTAAGAAAGAAGTTCTCTGATGAGTAAGAGTGACCTCATTTCATAATGAGCACTCCCGCTCCAACGCCAGAGGTCTATAACGCTGTGCGAGCAGCAGTGCAACCTTACGCCGTCATGATTAAACGGAAAAGCAGTGTTGGTAACAAGAAAGAGTCAGCTATCAATGAACTCTTGTGTGTTACCACTAGAACAAACATGTACATAAAGTACTCTCCGTCACAACACATCCAACCAATTTTTATAATTTTTGTAGTGTGAAGTAAAATTAACATAAATTTATGGATAACTAGCCGTTCAAATAAATCATTGTACTTAGGTATTGCATAAATTATGGTACCTCGATATTGTTTTTTATATCCGATAGAATCTTATGCTCCACTCAAGAATATCCTTCCCATCGGGTTGGGAAGATCCCGAGAGAATGACAATCGTGCTTTTGGAAATCAAATTTCATGTATCGCGGTTAGTCGCAAATTCTGCAACATGAGCCATCACTTACCAATTTCGCACCCCATAGCTTCCGAATAGATCAGAGTAACCAATTGTAGCAAATTAGTATAAACTGTTGTAACTTATATCGATGTGGAAGAAATATGCAGAAGAAATACATATCTAAACAGCCTAATATAGTGCATTCAGGCGTTTCGATTATTAATTCGATTATGCGCTGTATTAAAACCCCGATCATCTTTTCTTTGGACTGAACAAGATGGAGACTGCTCAAATGAAAATGCGCTTTCCAGCACAAGAGCGCTCTATAATTAGAGCCATGTGGCCGCGGGGTCCCTTCGGCCGGCTAAAAACAGCACGTCCCACGAATCGGCCACAGCGTCGCCCAGAGCCCCTCTGGCGCCGACCGATTGGATCCTCGACCGCTCGACGAGATCCAGCCCAGAGATAGGGTGGGGGACGTGCCAACGTTGCCAACATACCAGCCACGTCGATGCCGCTTTCCTTTTTCGCATCATCTACCTGAAACGCTCTTTCGTACGAGCCACGATCAGCTCGTCGAAGAGAGCGGAATCTCCGAATCCCGTAAAAGATTGTCTGAAGCGTAACAGCGCTCTTCTGCTGGACTGTGATCTGGGTCGATGAATTCCCTGAGGATGAAGTCTCGAAGACCTTCTGTGGAGGTGTTGACAAAACGAGAGAGAAACGATGATAAGAGAGAGACGTCGTTGAATGATCATGTGCATAGGACTTTCGAGTAAGCTTCCAATCCTGTTTGCGACTGTCTGTGCCTGGGAAGGCTCATCGGATTTGGTCCTCAGCTAGGTTACGTATCTACCTAGTGTATCGCAGGCGCACATGTTGACGACCATCATCAGTTTTGTGTGTTGTTGAGTTTCGTTTTCTTTGGCCTCTCTTCGGTAGAGCACTCTTGCACCCACATGTACCTATGGCGCCTATCGCCATCCTTCTCTTGCGACCTGTTCAACCAAGAGCCGAGTTTCTAGTCGAGCGTAACGAAACTTTTGAAATTCTTCCGCATCGGCGAGAAGAACTAACTTAACATAAACATCAATTCCTCTTCTCAGTGAGGAATGGCCTAATTGAAAGTATTACGTATGCACTGTTCAGTCATGAAGGGCTGGTGTACTTATGTTTAATCAACATACATAAAGTTATATTCGGGCCAAAGACATGGCTTTTCATTCGAGGCAATCAGCTCATTACTCAGTGAGTCTAGGATGGCATTCAAATCACTTGACTGAGACTTCCCGAACTGCTCCCAACTTACTTCGGCATACATACACTTCAAAAATCAACAAATGCTTGGGACTGTAAGATATGATTTGAACGATCTACATATTTCGAGCAAAAGCACCTCCAGGTGACTCGAGGAAACCAAAGCTTGACTTGCGATTTCTTTTAAAAGCATTACTTTACGTCAGACTCTGACTGGTTCAACGAACCGACCGGAAGCTTATTACAACGTTGGAGATAGAGACCGCGGTGTTATGAGGAGGTGGGAGCTGCGTTTGAAGCAGTCCAAAAGCGTAACAGGCACATGCTTCCTCTGCATTGTCCTATCACTGCTTTACAAATAAAGGCAGGTGCAGAAATTTGTCATACTTTGTGCGAGGGCACCATAGAACGTGCGATAACAGTAAACTTACTGCAACTCTTCGCACACTCCCCCTGAGAATTTGGCAGAAAAGCCAAGCCGGACGAGTTCACCAAAAATATCCACGTAAGAAGTTCGACGTTAATTAAGAAAGTTGCAGCCGCCTCTGCCGCCGCCAGCTGATGAGATTTCGCCTTATGTTCTGGAGCAGAATGCGCAGGGAATGTGTCGTCTTCCATAAGTATCGTTCGTTAGTGCATGAAGTCCACGATTGGAAAATGATCCAACACTTTTCTCCCTAGCCAAATGAGACAGATGAAATCTTCCTAACAAACAAAATCCACGTCATTGAAGAATCAACTGTAAGAATTCAATAATTTGAATGTACGTTGCCGAAACAAAACATTCTCTACAGTCTGGTCAACTATAACTGCGAAACAAATTCGATGATCCCTCGATGGAATCAAGATACAAGATAAAATCATATATTCAAGAAATGCATCGAACCTGGTGCTAATGTTTTCTTTTAATTTCGTCACCTGAGCAAAGTATTGTGGAATAGTTTTACCTTGTGCTCCATGTAAGCGCGACTAAGAAGACCACATCATGAAATATAGAATTATTTTTACCTTACAGTCATCTATTGGCTGAACTTCACCTGAGATGCCTATATCATCCAACATTTAAACAAGTTCTCTAGTTTGTTGTAACAGTGTTTTCCAATAAATTGACTCTCATCCGTTTGCAAAAATTTCCTCCTGCTCAATTTGTATTTCCTCATTCTGTTTTCCATGGATTCATTTTTTTTATACTATGGTTCCGAATATGTTCCATTTCGGATGCGTTTGAGCCCTTCGGGCTATCACATCTCAGTCCCTGTGGTAAGTTTGGAATACAAGCTTGTTCCATAAATGCATCACAAATAATGTATATCCGGCTTAGAGAGACTTAGATTTAACTGCAATTGAGGTTTCGAAGATACTACAATATCATCTATCGAAACACAGTTTCTGGCTCAGCAAAGATATACGGATGTATCAAGTTTATTGAACGTTTTACTTCCATTATTAAAAAACATTCAACCTCTGGGAAAATAGATTCTTCGCGTTAATAATTGTCGTCTGAAGTGAAGATCCAAGAGCTGATACACTAGTTTGTCTTTGCAGACGACCGAACAAACGACGACCGATTTTCCGTTGCAGAGCCACAATATAAGAACGGGCACAGTTTTTCACCAATCGCAGAACCTCGAGCGAGTTCTGAAGGCAGGAGAGGAATGTGACGAGAATGTAGGGTTCATTCAAACAGAAGTGCCACTTAATAGTCGAGAGTAGTATACCACACTTTCTTTACTTCAAAAAATAGCTGTAGAAGAAAGACAAGATGGTACTATGAGGGAGACATTTTCTCCCCATTTCTCTTTCAGCTCTTTTATTACACGTTGTGAAATAACAGGGGCTTGCCCCACTCTTCCAGCAATGTTCCCGGCAATAAACTTCCTTTCGGAGTGGCGTGTTTGTAAAGTTCCTTTCAAATAAAAGAATGGCCTGTTTGATAGTTTGTAGACACTATCAAACTATCAAGAAGAGTGTGCCAAAAACCGATGATACAGATTAATAGATCTTCTGATCTGGCATACAGCAGTGAACTATCTATCTAGGCTCCACATCTTCACGATAAAAGAATGGTAAGTCTACAGGGTTGATATGAAGTTAAAGCTACGACAATCAGTGATGCTCACTATAACAAGATGTGTACAATTGCTAATGCTAGACCAGTGGCCAGCGAAAATGCAGCAATGTTCGATGCTCCAGATGGCGCAGGAGATGCACCAGGACCCGGGGTTGTGTTAGAGGAGGGAGGAGGCCTTCTGCTAGGCGATGGTGTAGGTGCTTTTGGGCCGGTGACAGGTCCACCAGACTCGGGAGCCGGACCCGCTCCACTGTTCGCCTGCAGCGAAGAACCTGCACAGCGACAAATAGTATAATTTAGGGCAATGAGTACACCTAGAATCAACACACAAGTGAGGCTGTTCTTTATCATTTGATTCACGTGCACACGTTCTTCACGACATTTCAGAATGTTCTCCGCATCTTTCACTCAGATGATCACGTTAAAAAATCTGCTATTTACATACAGTACAGCAAGCTATAAACTACTAGGCCGCATAAATTTGGCGTATGACTTACAATCTGTTTCCTCGAAGCCCAGAGTCCGTTCCTCCCGATTAAATATAAGGTTCAATCCCACCATGAAATTCACTGCATATGTCACACCATGTACAGAATCGATCATTTTGCAGAACAGTAACTTATGAATTGGTCATTACAAGGATAAGAGTCAATTTCAGTTGTCTGTTGACTGGCAACCGTTATTCGAAGCACACATAGATATGGATTGGCATATAACAAACGACGGCAGCTACTAAAATCCAATGAAAATGCCTCATAGATATCATATTTTAGCCATAAAGAATGACTATAATATGGAGGATAGACGACCAACCTCCAATGATGTTAGCGTTCGACTCAAATATGGCCAGGCAAAACCCAGCGCGGGTTCTGTTCTGCTCATGTACAGCACACGAAGCGGGGCATATTAGCACGCTGTTTGATTCCTGACGTCAGATTGTTATAATGCACCCATAATTGGTATGAATATAAAAATTTGACAGTCCAGTTGGCCCAATTGCAACATCGTAAAGAACAACCAAAGGCTTGCTACAAAGGTTCAAGCGATTACCAACCTGATAGATCAAGGGGACAAATGGGAACTTGACGGAAAACGGAACCTTTCCATTGAGGACATAATCGATGCTGGGAGTCTTGATGATGGCGTCGCTGTGATTGAGCATACGAGCACCTCAAGTCAGTATGAGCCACTAGACTGTAAACACTTGGTAAAAGTCAATTGATAATCCTTGAAGGATAAACCCCCGTCATGCGATATTATTTAGCTTATACAGATTGTCATTCAAGTAAATTTTCACTACACTTACGTCGTTAGGTAGCAAAGTTCCCATGGCTGGATCTCTTCGCTCCCTACTGGGATACGCGTATAGTCTGTGTTTTGCTTATCAAACTGAGACATTGCAGGGGAAAAATCAGTCCATCACGGAGGACAACGTAGAGTTAACATACGCAATTGGAATAAGGAGGAGCTAAAAGAGATGGAGACTCCTCGAGAGGAATGAATTGAACCAACTTTTAGGAGCTTACCGAAGTCAGGAGCTGTTGATAAGTGGAGCTGTTCAAGTACGAGTACGTTGTGCCGGTATCGAATAAGGCAGGCTCTCCGACAGTGATTGAATCCGTTCCCACATCAATTGCTTCCACACCGACAAAGTATGTATCGCTGCAACCCAATCAAACGGCGTTCCGTAGAGAATAAGACTAAAATTTCAAGGAGAAAAACCAAAATTCTGTTCGGAAGTGTAGCAGTCAGCGCACGAAAGCACGAAAAAGTTGGCCTCCGGGACTGCAACATATACGTACTACGATCCGGGCTGGACGCGTAAAAACGGCGTCGACGTTTGCGTGGCGGATCCGATGTCTCCGAACACGACTCGTCCTGAAAAGTCAGGTCCGAAGCACATGGAGAAAGAATCCTTCACGAGCCCCGAGTTGGCCAATAGAGCAGGCACAGAATAGTTTTGAAATCCCAGTCCAATGAGACCGTCCGGAGCGCCGTAGCCATCAATGAACGATCCAGTTTGCATCTGGCCACACCTGGTACGCCAGAAGTGCCAAGTTAGGAAGGAGAGAGCAGCAAGCTGTCGTCTTGTCGACGATGCCATCGGATTTCCTGAGCTTGAAACATTGAAGGAAAGCTTACCCCAGAACGATAGGCACCGTCGTGGGGGTCGGTTCCCCATCATTTGGAATGAGGTGAATTACGTCCTCCACCAATCTCCCGCTGGTAGAAGTGTTGACGGATGCGTAATTCACTTTGTACAGGCACTCCCCGCCACCGTTGGCATCGCATTGGTTGATGTACAAATGGCATTCATCGCTGGCGCAGGCGATTGTTTTGCTAGTGTTTGAGTCAGTAGGACTGTACACGTTCAAAGCATTGGTCTGCGAACATCATGGACCACGAGAAACCTAGCAATGAGCACAACGCGAAGAGAAACACTGCTCGCTCTGTCCCTCCATTCTCCACCTCGAGGTCCGTCGAAAAATGGCGCGAGTGTGAATACGTATCCAGCGCGCATGAAGGGAAGAGAGCGACAAAAAACGAAAGAAGAAACCATACTAATCTATCTGATACAATCTAGTGAAAAACATTCGAGATCGACGGTTGGAAACAACGAAGAAATGAAGGAATGGCGACTTCCGGGTGCTGCAACTTACAATGCCATAGTCCTCGTAGATTGGGGAAGAAGTTGGCGCACATGACTGGCACTCGCAAGGCAGCCAAAAGAGGTCACTTCCAGTGTCCAAGGCGACCAGGAAAGGCACTGATGGTGTACCCACATCTATCGTCGAGTAGTACAGTCTGTCAACCAACCAAAGTCATTTCAGTCTCAAGGCCAGCCTTCAGGAACGCAAGCCTGCGCAGAAACGGTGGGGCGGTACAGAGGCGGACTTGGGGCAATTGCATTCCCGCTAAACTGGAGATCTAGACAATGCATCGCCGACTTCCACAGGGATGTCAAATCATCGACTCGACCACTACTGACAGCAAACTTTATAAAAAATCACAAATCTCCGCCCTGCAGTGAGAATCAGGAGGCAGTCACAGGCTCGAATATTCGGGGAAGCACATCTCACCCTCCGACGAATTGAATAGAATAATTGCCCTCGAGGAAAGTGTAGCTTGCAGGGATGTTGGCCAACATTCTACCGTGGCGGGCAGCATCGCGATGCGTGAGAAATTTTTGGTAGTCGACGGTGTCGACGTCAGGGAACGGCCAATCTCCCCTCTGCTGGGCATAATGATCTTCCCTGGCTTTTCCGGAGAACTTGTGCGTGAATGGGAGTTCATAGGTGGCGTCCGATAATCTAATTAAAGAGATAGAACATACTAACAAGAAGAAAGCACACTTTACTGCTTTAACACTCCGCATCGCGAGATGCGACGCAGAGATTGGGCGAAGGAGGAATGGATGCGGAGTTCCTCAGAAGGATTCGAAATCTCGAGCTACGGGAGAAATGCGGGTGAAGACGGGACCGCAATTCTAGCTACTCCTTGCTGCCACCGAAGACGATTCTCCTCGTCAAAAGAACGAAACTCCACCTCCTCGGGACAGGAGAAAGCTGGATCGGTGCAGAAGGGGAGGAAGAAACAAATGTGAGAGCTCAATGGAGCTCGAGCTGTAAGTAATGCTACAAACACTAGCGGTGCCCCGGCGCAAGGCCCCTTCCTCCCGCTGGAGACAGACACGCCGTCGATGACAGCACACACAGTCGATGCAGACCACCACGGCCTCCGGCACATCCCACTATGGTAAACGGGAGATCCGGTCGGCCAAGCAAGTTCCACGCACAACCAACAGCGAATGGATACAGCTCTCCACTGTTCGTCGCTCCTCGACATGCCATGGACTCTTCCTGATCATCACTTGCTTCGCCTCCAAGAGACCCATTCCTATTTCTCATCGTTCGGACCTCGCCACAACCTTTCGATCCTCGTTGTGAAATCGTCCCATTTGTTCTTCACACACACTAAACATGACGACTCACTCTCTTCGATACGATATTTTCAACATGCCGGACATCCGAAGTGATGTTCAATTAAAACGACAATGTTAGCCAGCACGCAACGTGGGAGGTTATTAATTTAAGCCCACGACGCACGGTGGATGTTTGTTTTTCAAGGGACTGCAGCTGAGCGACGTCGAATATATATCACCAGCCCTTGGACTTCATTCATCTTGTGGGCAATAAAATACTGCCGACCATGATTTTCTGTCAACGTCAACTCCGTTCATGGCATTTGAGCACATTGGAATCACATGAAGTGATCCTTCTCATTATGATGCTTTCAAAACTTTGACTTTGGATATGTCTCGTAAGCAGCATCTTATATTATATTTTATGGGCTGAAAGGGTAACTGCCTTCGTTTTTGTGCACATGACTTCTCTAAAATTTAATCTAAAATTTAAATCTCATGTAATAATAAATCTAACATCTAAGGAGTCCATCAGCTTTGACTGAAACTTATAAGTGCATTTACTAATGCAGAAATTAGGAGAATGAGTGGCGCGCGCACTGCAAGTTCAGATTGCAACCTCTTTGGACCTACTTCGGCCCCTAGAGCTCCCCCTCCCGAAGTAGGGGGGTTTATCGCCGAGTCTCTTAGTGTTTCTAGTGCTTTTATTTTATTGAGGTTGTCTTTCGGCCTCTCACCATCGTTCCTTGAGCTGAATGACAAGCTCCTACAGACCGTCATCCACAAACTTACATCTTTTATGTCCCGGATTTCGCACCTTTTTTGCGAAGTGGTTAGATTTGTTGCATTCTTAGCTCAGATGGATTCTTGATAGCTCAAAAGAGTAATATACTAGCAAGAGACAAGACAACTTTTTACATATTGAAACTTCCACTTTGCAAGTGGCAATTTGATCAAACATCTGTTCAGATATGAAAGCTGAAGGCAAATTTCTATTTTTGATCAAACTGCGTAAAAAGAAGTTGCATAGAATACCTTTTGCTGAAATGAAATTCATTTGAAGTTCATTTACTTGAAATCTTTGACACAATGAACTTATCATGGAGAAACACAAGAAATTTCACTGTGGAGATTTTAAACTAATCCTTGTCAAAAGAAGTGGAACTTAAAACAGAAAACATAAACACGAAGTTCACTAATGACCAAATTTTATTAGTAAAAATATTGTTGATTGTGACGTGAATAAGAAGATATATTAACTTTTTTAAATACTCGTATTATTTCTTACTTTTTCTAAAAAATGATGCATGTTGATAATGTAAATGGCCATAAAAACAGATTCAAAAAAATAACACCCAAAAAAGTTCCACGGATTTTATATAAGGTTAAAAATATAATATTAATACTTTGAAATTCAATGAATCAATCAAAGTTACAAAATTAAAAAAATCTAATATAATAATTACAAATCTGCATATAACAATAATGCATGAGTTAATAAATTCAAAATATATTTTATGGGATGCAAATATTAATTTGAGATCAGTTTGAACTATCTGACATATTTTTTAATTACATTTTTTTGAAGATTCAGAACCATTCAAACTTTTTATTGATGAATTCTTCAAATTATTATATTGGAAAAATATTGAAAACTAAAGCCTGCATAATAAATAATAAGAGCAACATCAATGATAAAAATGATTAAAATACTCAATGAAGTTGTTAGAATATGTTTTTTGCTTCAATATATCAGTAAAAATATGAATTCATATATACAGAATCCTATAATCAGTATGATTTCAATTTTAGATTTAAAACATGAGAAAATCTCAATCTAAACTTATTATCTTGAATGAATATTCGTTTTTAAGTTTTTATACATTATGATATTTAATCCTATCGTGAAATTTAATTCAAAGCTTATATTTTTTTCTAATTCTGTATTCAATCATGTATGAAAAAAAATTTAGCCTAGATTATAAATTCTTGATAGAACTACCTCAGTTAAAATCTTAAAGTCAATCAAAAAATATAAAGGTTCACATTTAAATTCAAACTAAGTATTCCATGACATGTTTTGAAATTATAATCTACTCAAAACTAATTTTCAATTGAGAATGGTGTAATTTGAGAAATATTTACTAACATTAATGTTTTTTGTAATATAAAAATATAATTCCATACTTTGCATATTTAGTAAATGTAATTTCTAAAACAAACCATTAAATTCAACACTCAAACGATTATGATTTTAATAAATTTATTTATAGTTTCAGAAAATGAATACAAACACATGTTAGTGAATGTCTTCAAGCTCAATTTTTGTCACATTCTCAAACTGAAATAGTTTTTTTTCCCAATATTTTTTATTTTTTAAGAAGAATATAATGAAAAATATTGATGCTACATAATAAGATTCATGTATCTATCATCAAGACTTATTCTTATGCATTTACTGCAATATTTTCTAAAAAAAACCTACCAACATTAATTGACATGTTTAACATAACAATCTGATAGACAGAACAGTCTAGTCTAACATAACAATATGTAGACAGAACAGAATCTAGGTCATGAAGAATATGTGAGATCGATATTTGTTTAACATGAAAAAAAACATGGAAATAAATATTTCTTGAAAATTCATGTCCTTGATTCCTATTTTTACCTGATGGCAAACATAGATAATTTAATTAAAAAAATATGTATTCAGATCAACAACACGCAAGAATAACTTACGTTTTGTGAAATGTAAATGAGTTGTAACTAAATTTTTTTTAAAAATATCTTTGCTTTAAATTTCATATCAATTACATGCTATGATTCTAATATCTGTGTTTTTCAATGTTCTCACATCTTCTTGTACATTATATATTGAATCCATATTGAATTATTTTTTTTACAAAAGGCATTTGAAAAATCAATTTCTAAGACTAATTATTCAACTCAAAAGTCGAACAGCTTTTATGTTTTGATGAATAAACTTTTACTCTTGTTAGTGCATTGCATATTCAAAAATAACTTAAAAATAATATGTCGTATATCAAAGTTTTTTTAAAATCAATAAGAAAGAAAAAAATATTATTAAAAATATTAGATTACCAAAACTTGTTTTGAGATATTTTACTCCATCACATTCCTCATTTTATATGGCGCGGCCAAATCACTCAATAAAGAGTAATAAAAGTAAACCATGAAAAATGAAAAATATGAAATAGTAATCTTTGCAGCCTTATTATACTCCAAGGCGTCAATGAAGATTATACACCATTGCAATCACGTTAAAGGAACCAAGATCTTATGTCTTATCTCCCTTCCTAACTTGAATGTCTTCTAGGAACTCCTCAAGTTCCAAGCTTAAATGATGTGTGCCTTGGGAACATAGAAATTGTATGTGCGGATGAGAATTGTCTTTAAGAGCCCCAAAACAGAACCCACCAGGTTACGAACCAATCTCACTACCCAGTCAGTATACCTTGAACGATAAACGAAATAATCTCTGTACTATGTGCGATCTTTGGCATGACAAATGTTGATGTGATAGCCTTCCTCCTTACCACACTCCTAAGAGGTCCTATTGATTACTCTATGAGTCTTTACTGCTTGCATTTTAAAGATTTTTAACACACAGGTTTATGCAGACTCGTGAGGGGAAGTGAAGCTATTGACACTGGCCACTCCATCATATATCTACTCCCACATTAGACGCTATATTGGTCATCGACCTCTGCTGTAGGGAAGTGGAGAGTCTTGCTACCGAGAAACAACTCCTCCAAATATATAGCTAAAACAACCCGAAGAGATTTTGACGTCGGAATATAGCTGATGAGTCCCAGGTTCCCATCACCTTATAGCCCATCCAGCGATTGGTCCATAACTGAAACTCCACAAAAACGCTTTTTTCGTAAAAGCTTCGCACAATTCGCGAACTGACTGAAGAAAAATTATGGCGACGATGTCTCCCTGTTCGATGGGCTTTTAGAGGAAAAAATCCGGAAGTATTGATTTCTTACAAACCAGCGACAAGAAAAACTAGCTGAGCACAAACAGTTGTACAACACATCCTTCCTCGGAAAGTACAACTCCCTCCCAAAAAGTAACAATTATGTATACGTACGGACGCCATACTCTCTTTCATTCACGCTGTAGACAGGAGTTTGCAATCAGAGAGTAGAAACTCTTGATTATAATAATAAGGGAAGGACTTTCAGAAGACAAGAATAGAAGGGTCAAAATGCAACCATATTGAGACTCACTTCAACTGCTTACGGATGCTTGGAATCGAAGGGAGGGATTAGCTTGAAGTTTGACGGGCAATCACCTGCAGGAAGCTGGAGAAAACCAAGGCTGAGCATCTAGTCTCGATATAACAGGCATTTTCTTCGCGCCTGGACCACTGTAATCCCCAATATCCCTGAAGCTCACGACGTTGAAGATACAGTCAATGGTGTTCTCAACTGGTCGAACGTATGTTCCAAGCGTGACAGGCACATGGCTTCTGTGCACTCCACCATTGAAGCTCTGTTTAAGTCAGGACGGTGCAGATATTTGTTGTAGACTTCCATGGGCACGGTAGAACGTGCGACAGCAGTAAAGCGTTTCTGTGCATACCATCGACATCAGAAATCCGCTGAAAAGCCGAGTCCCGACAAGATTTCATATCAGAGAGGCCCATGTCAATTGGACGTAAGCCAAGCAAGCTTCTGCCGTCAGCTGATGAGAGATGGCAGTATGTTGTGGAGCTGACTTCGTAGCGTATATGTGTCGTCTTCCACCAACTCTGTTTTGTATCTCGTTACTGCATGGATTGCATTACTTGAAGGAAATCTACCAATGAGTGACTGGCTGAAATAGAATCTGGTTGAAAACAAAATGCCGTGTCAGTTGCTTCAGTTTGGACTGAAGCAAACGAGCCACATTTTTTCAAGATTTTATTACTTTGTACTTAAAACAGATGTACCGATGGGTATGATTGCCGAGCCATACTGTTATAAGTCT